TTAGCCTGTAGTAGTTAACTTTAGTCTGTATGTTTAGTTATTGTAGTTAAAGCTTTAGCAATACCTGTAACTGTTGGTCATGCTAATAAAGTTATTATTATTAAAAAAAAAAAAAAATATGCGTATTGATGGATTTCGAAGTCTCGCACGACGTAGAAAAAGTAATTCATTAATATAAAATAAAGATTTGTATGTTCTAAGACTCTAAAAAGGTTTAAATGTAGTATATTGCTCACAGGCTGTCAGAGAGTTTTTGTAGTACATGAAAGTGCATGTTTGCCATGTTGTTTATACGTCTGTAGTCTATTATGTGTTTTGCAACCGCGAAATATAAAATACTTAGGGTTCATTATATATCGGTTGGGGGGAGGGAGCTGGTGGATTCTAGAATTCAAACAGCATAATAAAAATGGCCCTCCCTTTTAATGTGTTTAAAAATGTAGTCCACCCGACCACCCCTTTAGAACAGTCTGAAAATTTTTCATAGGTAGTTCTTCCCATCCTATTCTTTTGTGTGCTCTTTACAACCAGGGGCGTAGAGAGGACCTTCAACTTGGGGATGCTGGACAGGATTTAGCCAACAGGGGGGAGGGGAGGGTGAAATAAAAAATCCATAATATAATTGTGTATAACCTTGTCTAAGTAAGTAGATATGGCCCCAAGAAGAAAGGGTTTGCTTTAGGTTTTTAAATGTAAAATATATTTACTTTCAATCATCATTCGGTTTTAAAAGTAATTCACATTATTTTAACCCATCATTTTCCATCACGAAAAATCATGTCTTTTATGCATTTATGCACTCACACCCCGAAAAAGGCAGGAAATCGCATTTCAGGGACCCTAGATTTCAAAATATTCTGGGGGAGCATGCCCCCAGACCTCCCCTAAAATGGCTCACGCCTTTTACACTGGCTACGCCACTGTCTCAATACCATCTTTATATCAATGCTATAAAATTTTATTGTCTCCCCAAAAGACTTCTTCAAAAGATTTAAACAACTCTTTTACACCCATAAAATATATCCACCATTAT